TTTATGGTTGTTCTCCTGCTTGATGGATCATTCAGCCTCTGTCTTTACCATTAGGCAATACTAGGCAGTTGCCCAATGCCCCAAGTTCCCAGGGGCCCCATAAAACTCTGTTAACATGTGTGGTTAATACAACAATTCCATATTTGTGCACATTAATTATGTTTTTGATCAAAAATCTTTCGCCAAAATGCCATCAGAACGCTTATAATAAATGCATCTCAGCTTTGCCTAGGGCCCCATATTTCCTATATCCGTCCCTGCCTTAAAATAAGGTAGTAACAGTAGATATTATGCACTCAAATTGTGTATTTTTTTCATGTCTAAAACAAAAATCTTAATCAGTTGGCAAAAGGTCTTACTTCCTCACATCAAGGGAAAATACACTTTTTCAAGAAAAAAAGACAGATTTAAATTTTTGCAGTTTGGGCTCCTGAGCTGATGATCTCTTGAGTTGTAGCAGAAGCTGGTCTCCTTGGTCTCTGTCATGCTCTGTTCATTGTCTAATGGTTGTTTTTTTTTTTTTTTTTACCTTAACGGCTGAGGCCTTCACAGAACAGCTGGATTCACCCTGAGAATAAATTAAACTCATCCCTGTACATATTCATTAAGGCAATTAGGGCAAAGGGTTAACAGTGCATAGAGGGTGGAACACCAACACAGGCCACATTTTTCATTTTGTCTCAATTACTTGTAACTTTAGCAAACTATAAAAAAAAAAACACAAAGCAATCACAAGTTGTGAATTCTTTAGCATCAGACTCTATATAGCAAACATAGTCCGAACCATGAAACGCCAAAGCCAGTGTCTCTATGTTAACCTGCAGCGAGCTGCTGACACCCTGCTGTCCTGAGCGCCATGTCTGTGTTAAATCTATTAATATAATACATGTGAAAGTCCTCTGGCCCTTGATCTGCTCCTCATTCCCAGCACTGCCCCCTCTTACAGGTTTGGAAGACTACATGAGACGATACGGGGAGGGGATAACCAGGGTCCTGAATTCCTTCGGGCCGGTACCCGACTTCTTCGGGGAGCCAGCCAAGGCCATCATCAAGGTAACTTGAGGTCTAGCTAAGACATATTAGCTCATTAACAGAAACCTGAGTTTAAAATAATACCAGTGTTTGCTTCTTAATGTCAAAATTAATAATTACTTGTGCTTTTCTCTTATATTAACTGATGGCTGATCTTCCTGGTTAATCTTGTTGATGGTTGAAAGTCAGGAGTTCCTGCTTACACATTTTCCAGTCACATGTTTTTTTTACGGGCTGTTTTTTACAGTTGGTCACAGAAGGTCGCTGTGGCTGCCCTGGAGCAGTGATCATTTGAACTACTTATGCAGGAGACAAGCAGTTGCTCTTGTTTGGTGATGATCAGGACAAACTATATGTCCTGTTTGAGGGGACACAGTGGGAGTGTGGGGACTAGTAGAGTTTCTAGAAAATAGTAACAATATTACAGATTACTTTGGAAAACACGTCCTGTGTGATTGTAGGCACATTTTAGCAAACATTTTGTTTCATCATTGTTACAAGTGAAGAACTCGTTTTTTAAAGGGACATTTGTACAAAAAATACAATCCAGGAAAAATTCCCCACAAAATCAAAAGGTTTTGATAAAGTGTCTTTCAAAAAAAATTTTTTCAAACTTTAATTTTGCTAATTTATTACAGACCTTGTGGTTTACAGATCACATTCTCTTCACCTTAAGCCCACTACAAAAAACAGCTACTGCCATATTGACTGATAAAATGTTGTTGCTAATGTCTATGCAGGCAGACCAGTAAAAATGCTTCTTTGCTGCAGGCCCCAGATGTAAAGTAAATGTGATATAAGATAAAAGAATCCACTTCATTGAACTCAGTCTAAAAACTAAAATTGGAAAAAATAAACATAAAAAATATATGAAAACATTGCACAGACATAAAAGTACATGGCATCATGCAATAGGAAAATACTACAGCATTAATAGACATATACTATTTCAGTCTTGATTTAACATCTTGAAATTATATGTAATTAACACCACAATGTCGTCAAAATATGTATATTACATGTACATCATCAATTTAGCACTTTTGGCACACCTGTATTATTGTGCTCCATTTACACATTCATTATGTTGTGATAGATTTGTATAATATGTTATATTACATGATTTTATATATGATTTATAGATATATTTAACAAAAAATTAAATGTTAGAAAACTGACAAGTTACTCTTAAAACCTTAGTTTGATTAAGAAGTTTTTAAAGTTTCATTTTTTAATTTCATTTACAAAATATTTCTTACATTAAGTGTATTTACACTTAATTTGAGTAGGTAAAAGAGATAGTTTGCCAATGGAATTAGATAATATGCTCTTGAAATAAGACAATGCAATCGTGTTTTCTTATTTTAAGTGTACATTTTCTTGATCCATTGGCAAAATGTCTCTTTTACCTCCTCAATCCAAGAACAAATGCACTTATTTTAAGAAAAAATTACTGATCTAGATTTCGATTTTTTTCCAGTGTGCTGAAGCATAGAAACCTCTAAAACCTGCAGGACAGCGGCCCTTCAGGACCGACTTAGGGCATGCCTGTATTAGGGCTATATATTACAAATGTTCTAAAAAAGACCTGCAATCTGCTTCCATTTTAGACTTCTGATTATACTAGTTTGTGTTTTATTCTCTGGCTTTGCATAGTTTTGCATCCTGTCCTCCTTTCTGCCATGATTATGTGATGCCTAAATAAACAAATAAAGGCATCATCATATAGTAACTTAAAATCATTGTTATGTTGATATTTTAAACCAGGGACAAACTGATGACTCAAAACTATTAAACTGTATCTTATGTTAGCAACTAGTCTACTTAGCATTGTTGAGTAAATCTGCTGATAGGTATTTATTCACTAGATTGCTTATAGCCCGTTGGTAGTACGGGGTAGAGTGAAGCCACCGGCCGCCATATTGGTACTCCCTAGTTAGACCGGTCACAATGTACACAATATGTGCGCAACAGCATAGAACAACGATGATGTTTTATTTTCAGGGGGGCTTAAGACTTTTAAAATAAAGATAAATAATCACTTGGACACACATGCTGTTTCATAGCATAAGTAAATTACTCTAAGTTATGATAAAAAAAATAGGCACATCACTTTGCATAGTCATTATGAAGTCAATGAAGTCTATAAATCATTCAATATAACATATTATACAAGTGCATCACAACAAAATGAATGTGTAAATGGAGCACAATAATCCAGTTGTGCCAAAAGTGCTAAATTGATAGTGTACTTGTAATATACATGTATTGATGACATTGTGGTGTTAATTACATATCACATATAATTTCAAGAAGCAGAAGTACATGTCTATTAATGCCATAGTATTTTCCTATTGCATGATGCCATATACTTTTATGCTGTGTCTGTGCATTAGCCTTTAAATCTGACAGATTTATGATACAGCGAAATTTATGAACCAATTTATTAACTCCACAGAGCTTCAGCACATATATTTCAGCACATGACTTTTCACATGAGAAATACAACAAACACTACAAAAACGACAGCGTCATCCACTTCATAAAGTATTACTACATTGACATTTAACAGTTAATTACTCTTTATTTTCTCTACTTTCTATTTTCTAAGGTTAGACACAATGTCAATGCCTAACTCAATTAATATCTTGGAGTCAGTCCGAAATAGCCAGACTAATGTTACGCTACATACTATACCATAGGATACATTCGTGTATATATGGATATTCTTGGTTAGTACATCCACCGACTGTGAAATTACCTGTGAAATGTCTTCCTACAGCCGGCAAATTGCTTGTTTTTGCAACCAAATGCTACACACATAGGCATATTTATGGCACGTCTCCTTGGGAATGGAGATTACCAATATGGTGGCTGGTGGCCTCACTTTTTTCGGGCTATCACCTATCGGGTGAATCAATAGAGATCAGTGGGTAAATCCAAACCTAAGCTCTGAGATTTCCAAAGCCTGGCAATATTTCATCATCGGAATCTAATGGTGTGTTCACACAAACACGTTTTGGGCCTCAATGCATCTGATTCACGTTCAAAGTCTGTTAGGGGAGCGGCGTCAAAAAGTCCAGCAGCATGTCCGAGCATCAGTAGCGGTGCATCCAAGCTTTCTGGTGTTATAACGTTTGATGCTGGAGTTCAGAAATCTAAACTGTTTGGGCAGAAAGACACTGCATGCAAGGAGTTATTGCCTGCATATTTATAAATATAAAGAGGTTCAACGCCAAGGATTTAAAACAAAGAGCTGGGAGAATGGACTGTTTCGTAGAGGGAACAGAGAGCGAGCTCTGGTCATTATTGCTGCACTAAAATATTTTTATAAAAACTTTGGTAAAAAAGTTATTAAACACCCAAATTAACTGAAAATGTTAAAACATGCCCACAAAAAATATTCTGTTGTATTTGCTGGTACTTGCAGGTTCTACCACAAACCTTAAAGACTCTTTATATTCAATTGTAGCTGTAAATTCCCCACAAGCTGGCAGCTGGAGAGAGCTTTTCAGTAGGGATTTCCAGCTCTGTTGGCTAGTGGTACGCTGGAGGTCTGGTGCTCCAAACAAAACTGCATATTTTAGTAGGATCATAATCCTGATGAACTGACTGCACAGATGATGTTTGGATGTGGACTTTCTCTCTTAAAAACGTGTTCAAATTGTTTTTCCAACTCAAAGTGAATAAAGCCAAGCTGCTCTCTAAGCTACAGAACTAGAACAGAGCAGATAAACAACCAGAGTGTCGAAGAAACTTGACCAGCGTTTGACCCAGCGTCCCATTTAAGTTTTTAAGAGTTTTTGACACTCGGATCTCGTTTGTGTGAACGCACCCTTAGAGATCAAGACAAATGACCTCCAAATGACAAATGGCTCCAACCAGCTTATGATGGCCGACCAGCTCCACCAATCAGCAACCTGATTCCACTTTGACATCCTGCCCAATTTGATGATAAAAGATTTCCGTATTTGTCAAACCAGAGCAAGTATAACTTTTCGTTTTAGGGAAGAAAGAGTCGTCATAAAATATAACTTGTTTTTTGTAATCTTAGGACCTTATTCCCCTAATATTATGACTTTATTCTCGTAATGTTTTGACTTCATTCTTGTAATTTTATGATCATTCTCATTGCGACTTTATTTTAGTAATTTTACAACTATATTCTTGTAATGTAACGAGTTTATTCTCGAAATAGAAGAAAAAAAATCTCTAGCCTGGCCCTAATACTCCGTCGTAGAAAAGAAGACAGAAATAGAAGTTTGTTTTTACTAGGGAATGGATCTAACATTTTTTTCCAGGACATTTTGTGGTGTTTCTTGGTAAGATAAAGGTGATAATTAAAACCATTTGAAAAGATTTATTTGTCCTCCCACCATTTAGGTGTTCAAAGATCAGATTACAATTAATTACCATACTCATATTTTTTTCCCTGATAACAATAAAACAACAGTTTAAGTTATTAAAATACCTTGAAAAATGTTGAACCTTCTTCCCACCATAAAAAGCCCCAAAATTGTGTTGATTCAAGCTGTCTATGGTAGAAAATAGATTTGTTAACTTATTGTTTAGAATCGGATATTTCGGACATTTTTTTACAAAAATTCATTTTTACTTTTGACTGACTTTTTACAAAAATAGGTTTTATAGTTTAAAAAAAAAAGTTACATTTACAAAAACAAACCATAAGGTCAAAGAAACATCATTTAACTCAGGAAAAAATGTAAACTAATCAACCGTTTGCAGCAACAAAACATGACCCAACAAACCAATTATGCAAGGTATTTTATATAGAGAGAGAGATAGAGATAGATATACACTGGCTGATCAGACCATTATAACATAAAAGGGGGAAACCAAAGAGTGCAACAGTTTACAAGAAACCACACAAAACAATTATGTTTGTTAGATTACACTACAGGAGAAAAGAAAGTAAATAAAAACATATTAACCTTAAATGAAAATGAAGTTAAACCAAAAACCGAACAGAAAAATTTCCCCTCTCCAGCAGGAGCTGGTGGTTCAGTCCAATTATGCTTGTTCAGGTCATCTGTGTGACGAGCAAAACCTACAAGGATCATGGAGAGTAAGACTGGTGGAAAAAGATTTAATAGTGATCAAACAAAACATGAAAATTAAGAGGATAAAGATACAGAAATTGTCTCTGTTTGTAGTTTTTTTTACTGACAAAACAATTTCATTTAAACTAATCCATCAGGGCTGCAACTAGCGATTATTTTTGCAAATCTATTAATCTGTCAGTTATTTTTTCAATGAATAATCAGATAGCAAACGGCTCCTTAAAGAAGATTTTTTTTTACTAAATTAAACCAGATGAAACTAAAACTTTTCCACCTCAGGGGTTCTGGATAGAGCAGATTGACGGGCAAAAAGTTTTTTTTATCTTTAATTCAATATGTTTATAAATATTTTTTTTCTAATAATTTTTGTATAATTGCTGCTCTACAGTAGGTGAGTTTCTCTGTCAGCTAAATGCATGTGTTAGTGTCTCTAGACTCTAGTTAATGATTAATCAATTACTAAATTGAGTTCCAGTCAGCTTCAACAGATGGCCGTTCACACTAAGCCTGGTTCTTCTGGAGGTTTCTTCCTGTTCAAAGGGAGTTTTTCCTCTCCACTGTCGCTACAAGCATGCTTAGTGTGAGGGATTGGAGTCAATGAATCAACTGGTTTTCCTTAGATAGAAAAATTGGAATCAATGACTATATGATCTGCTGAACTGTGCCTTGAGATGACGTGTGTTGTGAATTGGGGCTATAGAAATAAACTGAATTGAATTAAATTAGTTGACAAATATTTCAATAATCAATTAATGCAATTAGTTGTTTCAGTCCTGTAATCAATACACATTGTAAATGAACATGTTTCACTGCTGTGACTGCAGTGAATAAATCAATGCACCTGCATACTAAAAATAGTTTAGAATATATATTCTACAAAGACGATGGCTGGTTTATTTTTGCTTTCTGTCTACTGTAACCTCCCATGCAGGAAGCCCAGCAGTTAACTTCAGGGGCCTTTGGTTTATAAGTGAATCAAACATGGTCGCCTCTGTTCCTGTCCCTCTATCTGACATCCTTCACCTGTTTCCTCTTCTGCTGTCTCCAGGAGATGTGTGAGCTGATTCCCAGTGACCAGCAGCATCTTTCTGGCAGGAAGGAGAGGAGGGACATGCTCCTCATGCATCTGTCCAAACTGAAGACCGACCACTGAGCTTCAAACGCCCAGGCCAGAGCTAAGGCCACCCAAGGCAGATGGTCAAGATGAAATTCCTGAGAAGCTCTGGAATCTTAAAAAAAAAAAAAAATGAAACTAAAATAATAAGATATCTGAGCATTTTAAATAATTTACTCCAGTCATTCATGGAAATAATCATTTTCTTCACAATAAGAATCAGGGATTTTTTTTCTGTTTTCTCAAATCTGCTTTATATTTTTTTTAACCTGTGTGGCAAACAAATCTCACTTGTTATGACTTGTCCTACTACATGTGAAGAAAAATCAGATGCTGAGAAAAATTTTTTTGATTAATAAAACTATTAAATACGACATGTTGTGCGTTTTCTTTATTTTTAAAGACAGTCTTAGTGTTAAGATGTGACTTAGGTCTTCGGTGCTGGATTAAAAAAAATCAGGAAATGCTTTTCTTGCTTTGATGTTTTGTTCTGCCTCCATGAAGGATTTGGTTTCACAGAAATTCCTTACCAATGTGGAAATCATGGGATTCCATTGTTTGGTTCCAGGAAGTCCGGCACTTATCACCAGCGTTTGAAAATCTACATAAAGACAAACAAACCCCATATATCTTATCGTACCTCCCTAAGAGAAGCCGGCACTAATGCTTGGTTAGCATTGGTGTCGTTCACATGGATTCCCTTATCGGCACATTTGTTCTCTGAAACCAAGCCGAGTCACTTTAGAGTGATACAGGTAATAATATCGATGTAATGCTTATGGGTAAAAACTCATTGTGTCTAAATCACAGTGCATGATCTCAATAAGTGATGCAGTTTTATCTCTTGAGCTGTTTTTTTTAAACTGTTTTTAATGAATCTGTAACTCGTTTGTCCCTACAGGGTTAATGTTTGGGTTAAAGGAAGCAGTTTGCATCTAACAACCAATCGCCTAAAACAAAACTCTTGTTAAAAACATGATGTTTGAATACAAAATATAAACAGAAAAGTTTTTTTGTTGTTTTTTTTTTTTTTGTCTAACATGAAATCAGACCAGAAGTTTTATATTTAAGCCGAGTTACTAACATGTTTTCCTGTTTGCAAATTACCAATATAATGCAACAATTTTTGAATTTCCTTTCTCTAATTCAGGGGTCTTCAACTTTTTCCAGGCCAAGGACTCCCAAACTGATGACAAGATGGAGCGGGGACCCCCTAATTATATATATTGAATGAAATTGTATTGTATCAAAATCCTCCAGTCACTCTATTACAGATGGAGTAATGAAACAAAAGTAATTTCTCCCTGGGATTATTAAAGTATTTCTGATTCTGATTCCTGGTTGATGGGACAGGTGTTGTGAATGAAACGGTGCCCAGCTTGAAAGAGCTCCTGTGTGTTGCTGAATGTTTTCATTGATGCCTGAAAGACATCTTCTGCCTCCATTTATCTGTTTACTACAGTGGGTTGAATTCATGTTAATGTGGATTTAAAGTAGAGTTGCGCCGATGCCATTTTTTGGCCCCGATTCGGATACCCGATAACTGACTGTGCAGTATTTGCTGATGCCATCTGTTTGAAATTGATGTGTGTGTATTTATGAAGAACTGCAAACTACTTGGATGTATAATGATTGATTGCCATCAATTCAATTCAGTTTATTTCTATAGAGCCAATTATCAACACGTCATCTCAATGCACTTAATAGTTCAACCAGATCATACAGTCAAATTGATTCAAAGTTTTCTGTCTAAGGAAAACCAGTTGTTTGTATCGACTCATTGACTCGAGTGCAATCCCTCACACTAAGCATGCTTGTAGCGACAGTGGAGAGAAAAAATTCCCTTCTTCATGGCTTTGTCAAGCTGCTGCCTACCTTTGTGAAGCAGAAAAAAAGACTACTACAAAGTGAATCCAGTAGAACTTTTTATTGTGTACCTGGAATTGGCGACAATAGCTGAATAAACTTTTGGCTTTCAAAATGGTAGCAGTGGCCTATTTGTTGGTACTCGCCAATACCGATACCACCATTTTAGTGCTGGATCGGGGCCCCATCCGATACTGGTATTGGAATCGGTGCTACACAAATTTAAAGACATTTCAATTAGTGGAAAAAATTGCAGAGGGGAATATAATAATCAACCAAAACGTTTGCGACCGCCATGCAGTACCTCCATGGACCGCCTGGGTCTTCCGCTCTAATTCAAAAGTTTAAAATTAAAGCTTCAGTAATTTAAAACAGTTCAGTAAACTTTAAACAGAAACCATGCTTTCCTGTCTGCAGAAACCATGCTTTCCTTTTTCCCCCTTTAAAAAAGGGGGAAAAAGGCCAGATACCAGGAAGGGAAAATTTGATCCCTACCCAATTGGTTCTTTCCTGGTAAAATATCCAAATATATATAACTTAATATATACAACTATATATGACTAAAAAGGTGGAAAACAAATGGCATAATTGTTGGACAGTAGAGAAATTCAACAAACAGAATATTTATAGAGTGATTTACAACTAAATTATTTACTTACTACATAAATCATCAAAAGCAGTAAACTATAACCATACAGTAAAAAATATAATAAAGAGGAAAAGATGTGAGTATTCCCTTAATCATTTTGTTCTCTGGAGTTAAAAGTAAGTGTAAAAAAAAAAGCTTTTAGATGAGATTCAGTTCCTTTAGAGTTCTGGCACATCTTACGAGAAGGAGGCAGCTGAAAAAAGGAGACAAATGAAGCTGACAGTTACTAAATAAAATATAAGAATATGAAGCAAGCTTAAGGCAGAAGTTCACTTAAAATTGAAAAAAAAACTACAACAGAGAAACATCCCAGGAAGTAAAAAATAAAAACACTAGGTATTAATCAAACGGTTTACACACTGTAAACCCATTTAAGCTATTAGAACTAAAAAAAAAAAAAAAAAAAACAGATACATCAAAATTTTTAAGTTGAGAACTGAAAATCACAACTTATCAAAAAATTAATTTTGATATCAAGTCATACTTCTCCGTTTATATTTCAGTTTTATCCCAATAGTTCACTATGCTGAATCAAAACGATTAACTTCTACTGTTTAAAGGTTTTGATTTTAATAAAGTTGTTTCTTTGCCCCTAAATTTCAATACAGAAACTCCACCTTAATTTTTCTGTGGATATCATTTCATCCCACTGTTAAATTTGTCCACATTTAATCCCCTGCGACACACAAACATTTAAAATCATGGTGTTGCATCTTTAGCCACAACCGCTGCAAACTAGTCAACCAATCAGATTTTATAGTAAAAATCGGCGCAGGTACTTCTTTGTTACTGTTTAGTTGTTCTTATTAAATCATGCTTTTTAATACAATAATAATAATTGAGAAAAAACCAAAGAATTAGTTTCAACCACATTAAACCCCTGAGTGTAGGTTTTTTGTTTTGTTTTGTTTTGTTTTTTAGATTAACTAGAGATGGTTAAGTATAGTGAAAAATTTCTTTTTACAAACGGATTGGAAAACTTCAAATAAGAGTGATTGTAGAAATAAACTTCCAGAGCAGGAGAAAAGAACAGCAAACAGTCGTTTCCTATAGTGAAGATTAAGGGCAGTGATGTACAAAACCTTGCTAAGCAGATTAGAAACGGTGTAAATATCAGTCTGTTTGAGAAATACCTGTTCTTGATCAAATATGAAGTTTTCCAAATAATATCATGGTTGTAAAAACTTCTTGGCCCTGAAAGGAGTGAAGATTATGGAGCCTAACGCTGCTGGCAAAAAGGATCTGCGGGAGCGCTTCTATGTTCACCATAGGAGCTCAGCTCAGACCCATAGTTCTGCTGTCAGCTGGTTGTTCAATAAATAATTTTAAATTTATTAAATGTTAATCTCAACCAAAGCTTGACAGGGGCAGTGTACATTAATAAGCATTCCTGCAAATGCAGCAGAATTAGCCAAAAGGCTATTTTTTATCTGTTGGCCCCAGACAGATCTTATAATTGTCTACCTAAAAGCACAAGAAGAAATTAAAAATAAAAATTACAAATATAAAAAGAAATAAAAACAGCTACAACTCTTCAAAACGTGTTTAAAAATACAGAATAAATGTACGCTGGACTACAGATTTTAGGTTAATAAAATAGAATAAAACATTAAAATAAAAATTCTTAAACTATATATATATAAATATATACACATACAGACATACATACACATACATACTTAGACTTAGACA